GAAATAATAATAATAATAATAAACTTTATTTATACCCCGCCACCATCTCTCCCAATGGGGACTCGGAGCGGCTTACATGGAGCCAAGCCCAAACAACAAATTACAATACAAAAATACAAATTGCAGTAAAATAAACAACATAACAATAAAGTATAAAACATCAAAGATTCAAAACAAGGAGGGACCTTTATGTTTTTCCACACTGAGTTTGAATCTTTAATGCTACATGCTTTGAGATATTTTTTTCTGATTCTCAGGATAACCTGTTTACTAACTGAATGGTATGAACTTTATTGGTTTATATACACTCTGTTAAGCAGCCCTAAAAAATGAATTGCTGCCAGTTTTTTTAATCTTTCTTTATTACAGTCATAGACCAGCATAAGGAGAGTGAGATAAAGTCTCATAAAATCATAATACATTAACATCATTAGAATCTAGGTTAAAAGCTAAAATACAATTGTCAGATTGTATTTTAAAAAGCTAAAAGCTAAAACACAAAATATTAATTAAAATAGAAGGAAAGGGAAGGATAATCGGGAGGGAGGGATAGGAGCATTCAGAGAATATGAGAGAGCATAAGGAGGGAGGGGTACAGTCAGAGACAGATCTAGTAAACTGGGGGGGGGAGCATGAAATATATCTATAGTTCTATAGAAATATATCTATAGTTACAACGTTTTGTTAAGTTAGAATGCTAACTTGTGGTACCAGTTATCCGCCGGTGAATTTAACTACTATATAGGTTGTAACAGAGTTGGTATCTGAGAGCAATGGGATGGTTTAAAATATCCTGAGTGCCCTGCAATGGAAAAGTGAGACTAGTTCAAATGTCTCTGTAAAACAGGCACTGGAGGAGCACATGTTCAGTTGTTTCTATGTGTCCAGAGTCACAGGAGCACAGTCTCTTCGGGTAAGGGGTCTTCCAATATTGACCCTCGAGTACAGCTGGTGGGAGGGCATGACATTGTATCAGTGAAAAGGTCCTCCGATGGTTGGGTACTTCTAGTTTACCAACCAATTTTATATGGGCTGTCACCCAGGAAGTAACACTGTTCTAGAAAGACTGTTTGCACACGTGTATGTGACTTATAAGCTAGAATCCACAGAAATTCTGGTTTACTGGGTATGGTTGAGCAGCACTCTGGTATACATTGCCTGTGTGCTCTGCTTCTAAACAATGAGGCTAAACAAACCCTGGACTACTAATTTGTGGCTTGTTTAGTCTGATGGAGAGTACTGTGTTGGACTGGATGAGAGCTAACAAATTTAAACTGAATCCAGACAAGACAGAGGTCCTACTGGTCAGTCGCAAGGCCGAACAGGGCATAGGGTTACAGCCTGTGCTGGACGGGGTTACACTCCCTCTGAAGATGCAGGTTCGCAGCTTGGGAGTGATCCTGGACTCATCGCTGAGCCTGGAACCCCAGGTCTCGGCGGTGGCCGGGAGAGCTTTTGCACAATTAAAACTTGTGCACCAGTTGCGCCCGTACCTTGGGAAGTCTGATCTGGCCACAGTGGTCCACGCTCTTGTTACATCCCGAATAGACTACTGCAACGCACTCTACGTGGGGTTGCCCTTGAAGACGGTTCGGAAACTTCAACTGGTCCAGCGAGCGGCAGCCAGGCTGCTCACTGGGGCGACATACAGGGAGCACACCACCCCCCTGCTGTGTCAGCTCCACTGGCTGCCGGTTCAGTTCCGACCACAATTCAAGGTGCTGGTTTTGACCTACAAAACCCTATACGGTTCCGGTCCAGTGTATCTGTCCGAACGTATCTCTCTCTACGTCCCACCCCGGAGTTTGAGATCATCTGGGGAGGCCCTGCTCTCGACCCCACTATCACAAGTGAGGCTGGTGGGGACGAGGAGCAGGGCCTTCTCAGTGGTGGCCCCTCACTTGTGGAACTCACTCCCGGGGGAAATTAGGTCATCAACATCCCTCCTCTCCTTCAGGAGGAAAGTAAAGACGTGGTTGTGGGACCAGGCCTTTGGGCAATCTGACAGCTACGACTGACAGGACTGACAAAGTGGAATTGGAAATTAGACTATGAGATGGCGAACGCTGACCGTTAATGAGGAGTAATGGGTTTGTATTGGTTTTATTGATGTAATGCAGGAACTGTTGTTTAACTGTTAACTGCTGCTATATTGTTTTACTACTGTTATGTGATGCCGGCATCGAATTGTGCCTTTGTAAGCCGCCCTGAGTCCCCTCCGGGGTGAGAAGGGCGGGGTAGAAGTAACCGAAATAAATAAATAAATAAATAAATAAATAAATAAATAATGCTGCCTGCGGCCCTTGAACTGCATTTTTGCAGGTCCCCAAAGCCCCAATTCTGCCATTTTAATTTATTTCTGGTTGATCTGAAAATTGTTTGCAAGCATGATGCTTTGGCTTTCTCATATGAATTCTCATCTAATCTCATTTTCAGCCAAAACATGGCTGAAAATGGCAAGCAGAAGATGTTACTGCTGCTTTGTAATCAGAGGCGGCCCTAGGTAATTTTCAATGGTAAGCAAACAGTATTTTGGTGCCCCCCCCAAACAATCACTGATATATATATATATATATATATAGAGAGAGAGAGAGAGAGAGAGAGAGAGAGAGAGAGGCAGGCATGGACAAATTTTGGCCCTCCAGGTATTTTGGACATCCTACTGGTTGTTTGGAATTGTGGAAGTTGAAGTCCAAAACACATGGAGGGCCTAAGTCGGCCCATGACATATATATATATATATATATATATATATATATATATATATATATATATGTCATGGGCCGAAATTATATATATGCGCTATATATATATGAACCATCCCCTGCCAGTCTGGTCATCTTGAAAAGAAAGTAATGAGAAAGTTGGTTTCTAATATATGTAATTTCTTGATGCTTGTGGGTAAACAGTATTTCTTGTTGTTTCTTTGTCAGTATTGACGTAGCGATTGTCTGGTTTGCCTACTCTGGAACATAAAACATATCATTGTCCTTCTTTAGGGATCCCTTTCAGATCTATGATATTATATCTTCCATGTGTGTGTGTGTGTTTGAATTCTATAGATCTATCTATATCTATGGCAGGATGGCTCTTTATCAGGAGGGCTTTGATTGTTTTCTTGCTCTGGTGAAGGGAGTTGGTCTGGATGGCCATAAGGCAGCATTTCTCAACCTGGGGGTTGAGACCCCTGGGGGGATCATGAGGGGGTGTCAGAAAGGTCACCAAAGACCACTGGAAAACAGTGTTTTCTGTTGGTCATGGGGGATTCAATGTGGGAAGTTTGGCCCCATTCTATCGTTAGTGGGGTTCAGAATGTTCTTTGATTGTAAGTGAACTATAAATTCAAGTAACTACAATTCCCAAATGTCAAGATCTATTTCCCCCCCAAACTTCACCAATGTTCACATTTGGGCACATGGAGTATTTGTGCCAAGTTTGATCTAAATCCTTCATTGTTTGAGTGCACAGTGCTCTCTGGGTGTAGGTGAACTACAACTCCAAAACTCAAGGTCAATGCCCACCAAACCCTTTCAGTATTTTATGTTGGCCATGGGAGTCCTGTGTGCCAAATTTGGTTCAATTCCATCATTGGTGGAGTTCAGAATGCTCTTTGATTGTAGTTAACTATAATCGCAGCAACTACAATTCCCAAATGACTCTGGAAGGCTTGGAAGCCCAGCCGGTCGAAGAAGGGACTCTTTTAGACACGGGGCAACAAAGGGGCGAGGAGGAGGCTGCTGCCGAAGAGCGCCCCTGGGGGAAATAAAGTGTTCCGCAATGGCTTACTTTGCGTAACGGTTGAGCCGGCCCTGTTTGTAATGCTCTTAGGGAATGCAATGGTGAAAACTGGTCCTCACTGTCAACACGTGACTTAGCTTGGTGTGTTAACTGGCTTTGGTTAGCTAGTGCTCTTGCTTGTTTCCTCCTCAACAAGACAGCATTAGTTACTCTGTCTTGTTGAACTGAAATTTGTGGTTTTGCTTAGTTACTACTTTTGAATGCAGAAGCAACCAGAAAGCAGGAGTCAGCATGCTGGCACATCTGCAATTAAGACACCATGTTATTGTGTCCCGTTTATCTACAGTTAGGCTGACTGAAATGTATGAAAGTGTCCACTGCTTGACTAAAATGCCAATACTTTGAACCAGTACTACATCTTGTCACTATCATAACTATAGGATGGCAACTCTTTTAATCCAAGGCATACCTACATAGAACTATTTCACAAAAAATAGTTCTTTTTGTGTAATAATTCTCAGAATTACACAGTGAATACTGTTATCTGTAAAAAAAAATAACTATCTTAATTTGTTTTGCATTTCATTCTCTTTCTTGCTGCTGTCTCTACACAACAGAAAAGCTTTGCAGAAAATCCAAAGCCAAGTTTTCCAAAAAACCTATTGCAAATTATACAAATTACACAATAGGCCCAAATGTTATTTGAACAGTGCAATTGATTATAGGAATACGGTGCAATCGAACATAGGAACATGGAACAAGGATTATGAGAATGGTTTCTGATTTGGTGCTGAGGCGTTATGATAATGATTGTTTATTGATATTGATTGTTATGTATAATGTGTTTTAATTGCCTATGATACTGTCTTGTGATAATTTGTATTATGTAAACCGCTTTGAGTCGCCCAAAGGGGCTGAGAAAAGCAGTATAGAAATAAAGTAAATAAATAAATAATAAATAAATAAACTAATGAAAACTTTTAAAGAGCTATCTGAAATATAATGCAAGAGGTGGAATGGGGTCACAAAATACTATCAGGAGAGTGGCGGGGTGTGTGTGTGTGGTTATAACAAGGAGAAAGAACTGGGTGGAAATTTAAAGAGGCTCTAATCCTAACTGCTGAAAACCTGAAATGGACATTCAAGCCTTTGCACATGCTACCAATACACAGACCAGCAACTGTATATCCAGTGGCATATTTTGGCTATGTTAATGCAAGACATTTGGACTAGTATCTTTGGCTACAAGCAGAAATACTTACTCATGTAACGGAAGGTCTCCTCAGCAAGGACTGGAGAAACAATTTCAGGAACATGGCTGGGGCAACTAGGAGATGGGATCCAACTATCATTATCAGAAAGATAAAGTGAGTCCACACGTAACTTGTATTGGGGCAGCTGCTCTTCTAGCATGCTCACCAGCTCTACTTCAGGGAGGTCTTCATTAGGGCTAACATCTAAAAAGATAAGACACAAGGATAAAAATATAAATCTGTTTGGAGATGAATGTTGTGAAAACTAGAAATTTCCTCTGTTAAATAGTAGAATATAATCACCAAAGCAATCATAACAGCTACTCTGTCCTGATTGAAACAAAGGCTAGCAGAATACTAAAGACAACTGTCACAGTATTATCATAGGCAATTAACTATCCTGTCAGCATTACACTACAGATGTTGCTGAACAATGTACACAATGGATTAAAGTGACACTGATTACACTAAGTAACATGATTTTTGTTCATAGATTATTAATGTTGTTTCCTAATTGGTTCTATCATAAAAACATAGAAAAAGTTTATTAAACTGCAAAAACTTTGTTTTTGCGGGACATCCTGCAGCCCATTTTGCCATAGTGTTTTAATGAATAGCTCATTGTGTCTCAACCAATTCAACACAGTTTGTGGAAGTCACAAAAATGAAGTTTCTTGAGTAGAACAACTACGGTACTGTATAATTCACACAATTACACAGGAATAACACTTTCAAACCAGGAAAAGGTTTTTTTTTAAATGTGACATAGTGTTATTAACTGATTAAAAAGTAGAAATACTTCTTGCATAATTTTATATTAAAGCTCGAAAGTAAAGGAATCACTATCTCTGCCTCTCATGTTAATTATATTGGAATATTTTAGCTTTATAACTTTAGTGTTTTTGGGTTTTTTTTTAAAGTCCTCCAAAGGAATGGAAGGTGTAGGTATAATGTATAACAGCTGTCTTGCAGGCTAAATAAATCTTTCTCTCTTTTTGAAGTCCAAAACATTATTCGTTTGCAAAGATGAAATCATCTCCTCATACTACTGACACAACTTGAGACAGATAAAACTGTAATTGTCATCTGTTGCATTAATTTTAGTACAACCTTTCCCTTCTTTCACCTCTGCATTTATTTCTCTTACACCTTGTATACTACTGAGGATGCTTGCGGAAGTGTTTGTTACTCATAGGGAGGCCACTGGAATAGTTTGAGATAGTTTAGTAAGTAATAAATTAAAAAAAACTATTTGAAAATATTGTTTGACCCAATAATGCTCTTTAATCTTTTAATGTATATTTCAACTTACCAGTGATGCTCTCTGAATCTCTTTGGTTGAAATTCATGAGGTTTGCTTCACACTTCAGTTATTTGGAAACCACATCCTCAACTTTCATCACATGTTGATGTCTTTCATTTTAGTTGAAAGTTGGCTTTGGTTTAAAACCAGTGTAAATAATAATCTACCCTGGCATTATGAGAATGTTTTTTCTGGCATCAGCTACTTGACGCAGGTGATAATTCAGATGCAATGTGACATATCTAAAGCTTGTACTTCATCTGATATTATGATCTGTATGCCATCTTGTCAGCCATCATCTTGAAAAACAAAAAGAAACAAAACAAGTGGTATTAAAATTCAGTTGAGGATATTAACATACTGCTAAGCCATTCTATGGAAATGTCATGACAGGGTATTCCTTGGACGAATGAATCTCTGATATCGACTCTATTAGGCTTTAACAACATTTTTTGTTTCCACTTTAATTGGCAAAATTAGTCCTACAATCTATTAAGCAGAAAACAATTGATGCAAATACAGATCATGCATAAGGACAGCATCAGAGGAATATAAAAACATCTTTCAAAAAGATTGATGTTTGAAGAATATGAAGAAATAGTACAGATATGATTTCACTTTGTGGTATAATTTTTTCATAGTTTCCCTCTATTAATCCTCATTATATTTTCAATTGCCTCTTTGCTTTCTGTCTTTCTACAGAGAAACAGATTGAGAGTTTGTTTTCTGATGGATTATTTATAACTGCTAGTGCAACTCACGCTATACTAAACCCAAAAGGAAATTAAATTTCTTTCCTATTGAGGCACTGATGTGCTGTGCCATATTTTCTAAGGCAGAAATTGAGCACTGCAAACATGTCTTTAGGTTGAAGTCTAGCAAGTTCCAGCTATATCACAATCAGATGTCTGTATGAGGAAAAACTCAAATTCTTTCCTAGTCTGAGTTTTTTAAATGGACAGTATTTCTCAGGTGTGAAGACAGGTCTGCTCCAGAATATACTTTCTAAGTAACATTAAGATGTGATTACAAGATTAAAAATTAAGTGCCGTTTCGCATGATACAAATGTGAACAACACTCATTGCTTTCATGTAAGTTATCTTAATAGCAAAAATGTCACTGAATTTCAAAAATAAAATACATATAAGAAGTATAAATAAAAACAAAGACAGAGAATTTGTCATAAGAGCAGAAAATATGATATTCCATAGCACAAATGTATGTATTGTGAAAAACAAAATTGACAGAGGCACTTTTTTAGAGTTAAAAAACTGAATTGATATAAAACTGTCCTTCAAAGATCACAACTGCACCCTTCTGAAGTATGTACTCTAGGCGACTAGTTAATCTAATGATAGCCCTGCACATATCAATAACTTCAGGGTTACTCCTACATCAAACATTTTAATTAGGAAAAGCAGCTGTTTTTACAGATTAACATCTGTCTGGGAGACTAAGCAATAAACTCCAATGACTGCTTTTAGACTAATGTCACCTAAAGATAACGTTAATTACATTTGTCACCGAAAAAGCTGTAAGCATGAAAAGGTAAATTACATCACTGTAAGCTCCTTGACTGAGCACACAAATTCAGTGCTCTTGTTTCAGGTGTTTTCCAAGGTACTTCAAATTTTTATTTAAGGACTTGAATCTTTGTACTGCAATTAAACAGGTAATCTGTGTGTGTCTAAATGGGGATTTCACGGTTAGAAACCTAGATTTATACAATGCATGTTTGTCTGAATTTGAAACTCTTTACTAGCTATGAAGACAGTAAACGGGATAGAAATGTTTCCTCTCCCCCTTTCTGGCGAACAACATTGCCATGACTCTGATGCAGCTGCGTCTCTCCCTCGCTGCGTTGTCTTGCGCACGTGTTCCTCATTAATTCAGACCTGCATTGTGCAACCAGCATAGGGTCCCAGCTATCATACTTTTGCCCCAAAGGCTTTAAGTTAGGGGTGTTCAAACCTTTTAAGCCGAGGGCCAGTTCATAGTCCCTCTGCCTGTGAATTGTTGGAGGGCCAGGCTATAGTTTGAAAAAAGATATGAACCCATTCCTATGCATATTGCATATGTCTTACTTGTAGTGCAAAACAAACAAACAGACCATGAAAGAACAATAACCAATGTAGTTGCATCTGTCTTTCAATGGGAAGTGTGGGCCTGCTTTTGGCTAATGAAAGAGTCAAGTTAATTAGGACTGTGGTTGGTGTTTCAGATAGTGGCATATGCTGCCTCAGACTCTGATGAAATTTCCTTCTCCGGAGATTTTTCAGCAGAGGCAGCACGACCATCAGTCATGAGGGCTCTAATTGTGGCAGTGGGGGGCTTATAGTTGCCGCTTGGCTCTACCCTTTTCTTCTGAAGGCAGGAGTCACAGCAAAGGTCAGCCTTTTTGGCAAATGTGGAGTGGTGATGTGGGATGAGGGCGATGTGGAGAAGGAAGGGAGGGAGGAAAGCCAAGCAGGCGCTCAGCCTCCAGGGCCTGCCCTTCCTGGCCATAAAGAAAAGATTGTGGGGGGTGTGAGAGAGAGACAAGGGACCCCTGGGATTAGATGCCTGAGGCCAGAACCACCTGAGGACAAGGTGACGTAAGGCAACACTTACATAATTGGGGTGAAGGGATGCAAAGGGCTGCTCTCTCTCTTTCTCTCCTTCTGAGGAGCCTGCCTCTTCTGGGACCCTGATCCCCAAGAAGGAAGGAAAGAACAATCAAAGAAAGGAAGGAAGGGAGAAAGTCAAGGAGCAAGGGAAGGAGGCTTGGAGAGGGAGGGACGATGGAAATTTGAACAGGGGCTGCAATTGGCCCCCTGGCCAGACTTTGGACATGTCTGCTTTAAGTGTATCCAAAAGAAACAGTTGTTGTTTTTAACTGGCACCAAGTCAACTTCAACTTAGAGCAACCCCAAGAATGAGGTATCTCCAGGTCACCCTGCCATCATTAGCCCTGCTCAGGTCTGAAAAACTGCAATGGTTCATCTGTGGCTTCCATATCTGAATCTGTGCATATGCGGTCTTCCTCTTTTCCTCTTACCTTTTACCTTATCAAGCTTTACTAACTTCTCCAGTGTGTCTTGCTTTCTCATGATGTGTCAGAAGTATTACAAATGCAGTGTACTCATCTTGGCTTCTAGAGAGACTTCAGGCTTGAGCCGAGAATTTTATTAATAGTTTGATAATTTTAATGTAATTTTTCAATCAATCAGTTATTTCGAGGCAATGGCTGGATATAAAGCCATGAGTGAAGGAGATTAACTACGTAGCTCTATCAAGTTTAAAGCAGTTTGGTTTCTTGTCTTTGCACACTGTACCTGCTACTTTTCTGATGTGTCTGCTCACTTAGTTGAGAATTTTGTGCTCTTTTGTCAAATAACACCTTTTCTTAGGGAACCTGGATGCCTGCAGCTTCACAGATCTCTGCTCTCTGGTCTTTTCATGACTGTGATGAGTAGCTTCCTCTCTTATGGCAAAAGGAGCTTGAACAGGAAGCCCTAACAACAGTTTCCCAACCTTTTGAGATCTGTGTATAACTTAAGGCTTTTTCTCCTGCAAAGGAAATCTAGGATATCTTAGTACACCAGGACCTCCTGTTCACTGTACTCAATACTAATGAAGTTGTTAAGGGAGCTTAGGGTATAGACTTTTCTCAGGTAGTAAGAAAAAGGCATCACAATGACTCTTAGGTGTTCAGAATTTGGTGGCTTTAAGCTCAAGTCTTTATGAATGTATTCAACATAATGGCTGGAGAATCTCCGATCAGGACACATTTTATTTATGTACATGAGTAAGAAGATGAATACATCACTATTCCCATTCTATAACTAACAGAAACACAATTTAGGATGTGGTTTGTTTTTCACTCTACTTTATTTTACAAGCAGGAAGTCAGTTGAGGTGTTTCAATATTCACTCTCTAGTGATGCTCCTATGCAATACTTCATTGGCTGAAGGCTCAACATTTACTAATTTTCTCAACAGGCTACACAGTTTCACATTGTTTGGCTCAAGCACATTTCTCTGTTGCACATACAGAGCTGGTACAATAGGTTCCATATCTGACCTCCAACGTGTTGTTTGTGTGGCTGGTGTTTTGGGTGCCTTTAGGATGTTATGGAGCTATGTTGGTAAAATATGTTTCTAAGTCCTCAAGCCAAAGATTCAGATGATTTTTTAAAATACAATATAGGATGTTGCATCATGTTTTGATTTCAAGTCCTGCTTAATTCCTTTTCACAGAATCACATTTCAGATTCTGTTTGTATGGCTTAAATGTGGCTTTGCGTGTTTATATTGGTAGGTAGGAGCTGTCAAATTACTATACCATGAGGGCTGGCAAGACACCATGCCCTTATTTCTCTTCTTCTAGCTTCTTGCGGAAGAATCCTGGAAGTTATCAGTGCAATGAATTTGGAAATAACAGACACAAGGGTTCTTTATATGCAAGCATGTACAAGAGGTCCACCCATATCCCTACAGTGCATTTTAATTCATCACAAGGAAATGAGTTTAAGAATAAAATGTGATTTAGTTATAGCCGGATCCATGTTAGAACAGTCTGTTGATGTAATACCAATCTGGCATTAGGCAAAGAAACTGAGGGCATAGCACAACTTCTGGAAATGAAGGCTCAGTTTCCACTCGCTAATTAGGAATAATAAGAACATTTTAAAAAAATACAGGGAGAAACTAACATTAGAAATGGTACATATAAGGCAAAAACGAAGATTATTGGTTCTAAGATAATAGTTATTGATAAATCAAGTTATTTCTGCTATAATCTTTTGAACCATTATGAAAGCTAAAAGCCCATCCAATGAGCAAAATACACAATAGGCATTATGTTATAGACTCAGTACTAACACTCCAAAAATGCTGTTAGAAAAATATGGATAAATACAGACTCCATATTTTCATATTATTTATATTTCTGGAGATTTTTACAAGACATTTACAGTTTTGCATATTTATGGAAGTTTATACTATCAAAAAGATGACAAAAGAATTACTCTAGAAAAGAAGCCATCTTAGATTGCTGGAAACAAAGATGAAACCATTGTGGCATTTTAAAGACTAATCACGTACCGTTTTTTGACATTTTCTTTTTGTTCCTCAACAACATCTCCTTCACTTGGGTTTTTAGGGAGCGGGGAGAAAACAACAAATCAGTGTTTCTTAACCTGGGGGCAGGCACCCCTGGGGGGTCACAAGGGGATTTTAGAGGGGTCGCCAAAGACCATCAGAAATGGTCTTAGGAAACTCTTTGGCAGAAAAGGCTGAAGATCTCTCTGCCTATCC